ATCAGTAAAATATAATCGTATATGTTATTTTACAAATTGGGGTGCACATAGATCAATAAAAGAATCACGACTTTATCCAGAAGATATTCCAGCAGATTTATGTACACATATATTATATGCATTTGCTAATCTTAATGGTGTATCATTACAACCACAATTAAGAAATGATATTAATGTTGATCAAGGCGAACAGGTTTGAAATGATACAAATAGTTTCAATATCTAGTTGATTATTTTTTTAGCCACTTTATCCACGTATTATGAAATTAAAAGAACAAAATCCTGATTTAAAAATCTTGATTTCATGTGGCGGATGGGGTAAAGCAAGTGAATTTGATTCGTTAGTAGGATCGGAAACATCAAGGTTAAATTTCTGTTTTTAATTTTTTTTAAATTTCATTTTCATTTGAATTTCTAGAGAAACATTTAGTAACAATGTTATTACATTTTGTCGTCAATATGGTTTTGATGGAATTGATTTAGATTGGGAATTTCCATCAGCTGATCATCGTGAACGTTTTGGATTATTAACTAAAGTATTTCAAATTTATTATTTTCTTCAAATTTAGTTTTCGTTTTTAGACAATGTATAAAATATTTAAAAAAGAAGCAAAAAAATCGAATAAAGATCGTTTATTAATTAGTTTAGCTGTAGCAGCTGGAAAATATTTAATTACGAAAGGTTATGATGTACCTGTTTTATGCAAGTAAAAATTAAAAATTAACTATTATTATTATTATTCATTCATTAATGTTATTTAGAAATGTCGATATGATTAATGTTATGACTTATGATTTGTATGGTGGATGGTATAATAAAATTGGTCATCATAGTGCTTTATATCATCGATCTGGTGAAACAGGCATGGATAGAGAATTAAATACAGTTTGTGTTCTTGTTTTTTTTCTAGAAGAAGAAAAAAACGAAGACGCTTCGTTTTTATTTAGAATAATTCAATGTATAATTGGATTGAAGCAGGTTGTTCACGAAAACGTCTGAATATTGGTATACCAGGCTATGGTCGAGCATTTACAGCTGATGGAAAAGATCCATTCAAAGCATTGGGACAAAGTGGAGGTGGTTCAGGTTCAGTATCATCACCTTATCTTGGTGAAAGTGGTTTATTAACGTATTTCGAAGTAAGAATGTTTATTCTTATAAATTTATAATTTAAATAATAATAATATAGATTTGTAAGAAAGAATTAAAAGAAGGTTTTAAACGTTATTGGCATAAACAACATGAAATTCCAATTAGTTTTAAAGATGGAACATGGATTGGATATGATGATCCAGATAGTGTACGAAATAAAGTAAATAGTTTTTTTATAATATTAAAAAAATATTTAGTCGAAATTTTCAAGTGTAAATATGTTAAACGTGAAGGTTTCGGTGGTGCAATGGTTTGGACATTAGATATGGATGATTTTAATGGAGAATTTTGTCGAAAAAATAAAAAACAATCATTAAATAAATTTCCATTATTAAATGCAATTAAAGATGAATTTGAAATTGATGAAAGAACTACATCAATATCTATTGTTACTATTCAAACAACAACATTATCAAATGAAACAATTTTATCAAATGAACAATTTGAAAATGAGCTTAATCAAATGTTTATAAATGTATCATTATCATCAAAACTTTATCTTTCCTATTCAATTTTTTTTATTTTACTTACCAGTAGCTATTTGATAAGGTCGACCATCTGCATCATAACGTAACTTAAATAATTAAAAAAAAGAAAAATATATAAATTATATTTGTTTTTTTTATTTTTGCTTACCGGTTCAATTTCTTGTTTACTTATTGTATCGGCTAATTTTGTTCGAAATGAATTTATATATTCTTTCATTGTATATGCCATTGGATTTTTAACAAGACGATTTAAACAAACAATTAATGTTTTATACTAAATGGAAAAAAAAATTAATTTACGAAATATTTCTTTTTCTAATTTTTACTTGTTCATCATCAAGTTTTTCTAAAAATCTTTGTTCAAAAATTTCTTTACTTTCCCACTGAGTATAATTAAATTCACTAAAAAACAAATTTTTAATTCGATTATTGATATTAATATTAATACAAACTCATTTAAACTATAATCTGGTTCACGACCAGATGCAACCATAGATACTTCAACTTTTTTAAGTTCTTCAATTTTATTTGCGACTGCCTAAATTTAACAAAAAAAGAATTATCAACTAAAAACAATCATATATTTACATGTAAAACATCATAATAATTTTGTTTAGCTGTATAATATAGAAAATGATAGGGTCGACCAGCTTTATCAAATTGTACAGCTAAATGGAAAACACATATATAAATATTAATCAATAAATAGAAAGAATTTTTAACATACCTTTTTCTTTTGGGTACATTTCTTCGGGTGGCTAAAGAAAATAATGAAGATTAGAAAATGAATAATAATTTCGATCTCTTACTCTCATTTTTGGTCGAGCACGTTCATCAAGTAAACCTGATGGAAGTAAATAATTTAAAGCATCCTGAAAAATAAATTATTTTAATATGAAATAGTTTTTTTTTGATATTTAAATTACATCAATTTTATCTTGATTAAAACTTTCTGGATCTTCTCCCATAATTTTTGCTAAATGTCTTCGTCCTATTTCATATTCATGAATTTTTTCATCCAGTACTTTTTCTATAAAAAATATATTTCAATATTGAAAATAATAATAATAAATTCTTTTTTTATTAACGTTTTTCTCTTGATTTCAATAAATAATTTTTCATTGCTTGACTAATCATTTCAGCACGATTACTTGTTGCTTGTTCGATGCTATCGATTGCTTCTTCATCAGCAATTGCTTGTGCTGTATCACGATTATTAAGAAAACTTTCATTTTCATCAATATCTGGATTTTTAGAAGGTTGCGAAGGAATTGATTTAGAATTCGATGTTGAACTTTCTAATCGATAAGAGATAGACTAAATAAATCAAATGAAAGTATATTTATTATAGATCTCGAGTAAATTCATTTACAGGAATTGTTGATCGAGCAAATATAACTTGTAATGCTGCTCGAGAGACAAATCTCGAGAACATTTTTTCGTTCAAATTCTTATTTCTAATAATCGATCTGTATATGAAATGCTGTAGTTTACCATATGATTACCTATTTATTCTATTGAATATTTGCACATACATATCTTATAACTGTCTATTAGTGACATCTTCATACATTCATAATTTATTCGAAAAATGAAATATTTTCTAATAAAATTGAATATATTAAACAAGCTATTGTGATTAAAATGTTATATATCTTTTTTTCGTAACAAAGTTTTATTCATATTTTTTGTTTAATAATAGAAATTCATGAATATGTTATAATACTGCATATAAAAGACTTGTGTTTGTCAATGTATAATAAAGCTATGTATGAAGGTTGTTTATATAAACAGAGCTTTATAATGTTTAGATTGGATTTTATTTCAACAACTATTGACTCACACATTTTTTTTGCATTCTAGTAGTATAGGGAAATTATAAAACTAGATGAAATCGGTTCTAGCTTATCTCAACCAGTTGTATTTTCTCTCAGTAGTTTCTAAACTAAATAAAATGCTAAATACTTTTATAAATATTAATAATTTTACTACAATCATTTTTTTATTTATTTAAATCAAGAAGAACACATTAAAATTTATAAAAAAACTGGAAGAAGATAATTAATAGAAATTTATTTACAATATGTTATATTTGGTAAAATAAATGTTTTCGTCCTTCGATCGCTCGTATAAGAAAATATTATAACATAAAACTAGAAAATTACATTGTCATAAAAACTAATGTAGTACTTTTTAAAAAACAAATCATTTTACTAAATTAGTAAAAGCTGCCAGGACCATTATAATCTGTACTATCGAATCCACCTCCACCTGATGAATGATGGTAATCTCCACCTCCACCTGATGAGTGATGGTAATCTCCACCTCCATCTGTTGAGTAATGGTTATCCCAACCTCCACCTGACGAGTGATGGTTATCCGAACCTCCATGATGCTCATGAGACGAATGTTGGTTGTCCCAACCTCCATGATGTTCGTGTCCATGAGATGAATGATGTCCTCCATGATGGTCATCTGGTGGTTGACAATTATCAGGATGTTGATCATGATGGTGGTGATGGTCATCGTCATTATGATAATGATGATCATCATGTTCTGATGGATTCCAACAGTGTTGATCATCCATATGATTAGGTGAACATGGACAGTCACAATTTTCAGCCTGATGATGATGACCAGGGCAGGTGCATAGATGCGAATATGAATTGTGATCATCAACATGTG